CTATCGGCTTGTCTTATGCCTCGAATAATGATAGACTTCAAAACTGCAACCTTTGTTTTATAACCATGATTGGAGAAAAAGTTAAGGATAATACTGCTTTGAGACCATTTTATCTCGTGTCTAGTCTCTGTCATGTGTTCGGTCACTTCTGACCATTAGGACTCGGCTTTCTTTACAAGCATTTTTGTGTTCCCCTAATCTTTGTTTAGGGGGGATAAGATGAATAGGGATAGAACGAACAATAGTTATTGCATATCAATAGACTTAAGAATGGAGTGAAAGTGTTTGGCGAATAGATTCAAAGGTCGATTCACCAGAAGACGACCGCGGATTCTTCTTGATCAGCTGTCGATTGGCTTTGCTAGAACATTCAATCCGACGCTGATTACGAGGTAATCTCCTTCCATTCCGGTGAAAAGGTGATAAGCTACGTGGTTATAACATGCATGTAGAAAGAGGGAGATAGGGGTCGTCAAATCCTGATGGCCGAAAACAGACGTTACTTTTGCTGTCAAATTACTTTTGAGCCATCACTGCTGGTTTCTTGCATAAGCGAACAAAAACAGGCAAATACACATACAGAGACAGACACACTCACAGGCTCTGAGGCTGACATACGACTGTAACTAACCAAATCACTTTATACTTGATCAAAGAGTTCTGATGTAGAGTATGTATACCGCTTTTTAGGGATTTGCCGGTAAGCTTTCTTGACTCGTTTGCTTGAATTTGTTTGTGACGATGCTATCTTGCTCTAATTATATTCGCCATAGGATGAGCGAAAGCTCAGCACCTTTTCGCCGGAATCATTGGAGATAACTTCAGAAACAGCCTCAAGAAGGATCCGCCGTTGTCTTCTGGTGGAATCGACCTTTGAATCTCTTCACAAAACACTTTCATTCGATTTCAGAATCTGTTGTGCTTATTTGGCCTTTCTATAGTGACTATCTTCCTGGGTCTGGAAACTGTTCCAATCAGTCTTTCCAGCCTATTGAGCGACCTAGGCTGACTAAGAACTTGCCCGAGGATTGGTGGAAGTTTCGGAGAATAGTGCTAACGACTCAATTGGGCAGTATCAGGCATAATAGTATTTGAGATTGTGTATGCGTTGTCTTGGACGGAAGTGTGAAATAGGATTGAAGTCGTAATCAGCCTAGTTGCCAACGTGCATTCAACCAGTGGTAACCAGGGCAATTGGGCACTCGAGAAAGAAGAAATGCTTATCTTGAGCTACATTCACTTGACGCATTACCGGGTCGAAAGCTGTTGGCATCGACGGCTACTCGAAAAACTTCCTCCTCCTCCTCCGTCTCGCCTCGGTTCGGCGTCGACCGGGGACTCCAGACGGGCGAGCGTGTTGCCGGCCACGGCGTGAACCGGTTGATGGGTGCCAACACAAGGGTCAGTTGGCAGACGACCGTTTCCCGGGCCGGCCAACTCGGCGTCTGGCCCCACTGCGTGCCGGCGGTGGTGGAGACGGCGACCCGCAGCCGCTTGACCCGAGGCACTCGAGCCAAGGCGATGTGCAGCTGAGGCGAGCGCAGGTGTCGCACGACGTGGACCCAACCGGAGAGGTGGTCGACGGCGTACGGCCAAGCGCGCCTGGCGCCGCCGACCAGCCTGTACACGAGTCCGGCCTGCTCGAATCCCGCCTCCTCCTCGGACTCCTCTTCGCGCGCCCCGGCCGGCCGTCTCTGGCCCCGGCCGACACGGAGCCGGCCCAGCCTCCGGCCTCCGACCAGTCGGTCCACGCGCCAGACCATCTCGCGGCTGTCGCACTGGAGACCGGCGCCGGAGCCGAGGCGTCGCGACGCCGGAGTGTAGACGAAGACGCGCATTCGGGCCGAGTCCAGACTGACGAGCTGGTACCGACGTCCGTCCGACGGGGAGACGCGCGAGTAGCGCCGGCGGGCGCGCACGCTGAAGACGACCGACTCGCGGGCCTCGGCGCCACCGGCGCCCGAGCCCGGCGCCGATGCGGCGCCGGCGTCGTCGGAGCCGGGCCGCGCGCCGGCGCGCGGGACTCGAGCCCAGTCGACGCGCAGTCGCAGCTCCCCCGTGCGCGGCTCCAGAGTGAAGGCCTCGTGGCCGCTGGTCAGGTAGAAGCCCGTCTCCCAGAGCCAGCCGCGCGCGGCGCTCATCAGCCTCGAGCAGGCCTCGGGCCGCGCTTCGAGCACCGTCAGTCGGGCCAGTCGACTGCCGGCCGGCGCGCCCTGGGCCACGGGGATGGCGAGTCCGGCCAGACGAATGGCGCAGGCCGCGGGCGGCGCCGACGCCGGCGCCTCGGCCGCGGCCGCGGCGCTCGCGCCTCGCACGCACGCCGGCAGGTCGGCCGGCCTCGCGTCCGTGCGCAGGTGGCGCGACTCGACGCCGGCCTCGTCAACCGCCGTCAAGGGCACGGTCTCCACGGCCTCCAGCTCCAGGCGCCCGGCCAGCCGCGACTCGGACTGGCCGTCCGCCTCGACGCTGGCCAGACACAGGCCGGCCGAGGCCGGCGTGTCGGCGCCGGCCGCGCCGGCAGACGAGACCAGACGCCACGTCGTCTGCCAGAGCTGAGCCGTCTCGACCGGCATCCGAGCCAGCCCGACGGACCAGCGCAACCGGTCGCCGAGACGCCCGACCCGGCCGGACGTCTGCAGCCAGACCTCTTGTTCCGCCAGCCGGACACGGGACATGTGGCCGGCCGACCGGAGCTGTTGCCAACAGACCAGTCGGACGGCAACGTACAGTCTGGCCGAGGTGGGCGCCGGGAGACTCGTCGTGTCGGGCCGATCGGCCAGCACGAGCTGACCGGTGGCGTGGTTGAGCTGAAGCAGACGCTCGCCAATGGCGCGGTTGACCGGCCAGGCGGCGATAGTGTACCTCAGCGGGCCGAGGAGGGCGCCGCGCCCCGAGACGTAGGCCTGGCCACAGGAGGCCTGGAAGACGACTCGAGCCGACATGTTGCTCCGACTGCCGGCCACGTCTCTCTCGAACATGTCGTCAGGAGCCGCGTCCACAAAGCCTCCGGCTGGTCGGCAGCAACTGGAGCTATAGTCTGTCTTGGCAGCATCTGCCTCGATTGCTCGATCGTCCGTCTGCTTGAGCCACACACGCGGAAGCTGTAGCGGGGCGCGAAGGGCGACGACAAGCGAGTCTTTGGCCTCAGCCACGAGGTGAATGTGCACTCGAGCCGCAGAAGTCAGGCCGCCTGGGTCGCGAGCCAACACATCGAAGGTGTACCGCAGCCTTCTGTTGTCAACGCTCCAATCGGGCCGGGGCAGAAGAGCAAGGGCAATTCGCGAGTGCAGATAGACGACGCCGGTCTGTCGATGGATGCCAAAGGGCAGATGCAAGGAGACCCAAGGGGCCATGTCGTACTCGAGACGTATACTATCGCCTGAAGGATAAACAAATAAAATGCACAAGAACCGCTAACTGCGTTTGTTGTAGTACTTCTATTCATTCATATCTAAAGATAATAATAATAATAGGAAAAGAAACTGGGTTTCGATGAATCTCCTGAGATAAAATTGTTGGGGGGACTTTCATCTGATATGAAAGTGCATGAAGAAGAGATTTTAGGTCGATCTAATTAGAAGATAACGGATGAATTCCAATTAGTACTGTAGTTGTTTGGCTTTTGCACGACGTTTAGGTTGACGCAGTCTACGAGACCTCCTCCCTCGTTTCGGGTGAAAACGGATTGAGCCTTCGTCCATCATTTGATGCACATCAGCAGAGCGGGGTCTCATTTCTGTAAAAGTCTCACGTAAACACTTGGGCAAGAAGTCTATCCGGCGCTATCTTACCTGTTGAGCTTGCTTCCATTTCGAGTGAAAGTGTTGTGTGAAGAGATTCAAAGGTCGGTTCCACCAAAAGACGACGGCACATTCCTCTTGATCAGGAGTTTTCGTGACTCGTTAGCTTGAATTTGGTTGTGGCGATAATACCTTGTTCTGATGATGTTCGTCAAATGATGGACGAAAGCTTAGCATCCTTCACCAGACTCGAAGGAGATTACCTCGGAAACAGCGTCAGCATGAATCTTCCAGTAGAGCCAATCGACAGCTGGTTGAGAGGAATCCTCCTCCTCGAATCTCTTCACCCAACACTTTACCTCTAAATGGAAGTAAGCTCTATATTTATGAAACTAGAGATTCCTCGAACCACAACTTTTCTTCGCATCTATCTTACCTCTTATGCACACTCAATTAATAAAAAAATAATTAGAAACCTAGATAGATATAGAGTGTGAGATGTATTCACTCAATTTCATTTAAGGTGATAAAGGACTGGTAGAGGAGTTTTCCCACAATGATATGAGTAGAGCTGACGTTTCCATTGCATTTCACATAGCCATGCTTTCCCAAGATTTTTTTTTCATCCAAAGTGGACTGCAGTTTCGACCTGGCATCGTGTTGATAAGACCAGTCCTTCATCACCTCAAACGAAATTAGGTGAATACATGTCATATTACTGATTTACTGGTAGTCTCGAAACAATACTGAAATGCGAAAAATAAATGTATAGAGTGGTTTGACTAATTATCTTTCATACTGGTCCTGCTACTTTTGTATATGTGCGTGTTAGCGTCTAGATGCAATACCGGCCTAAAGCAGAATTATCACAAGTCCAATATCAGGTTCAGACAATCAAGGCCCAATGACCCAAGAGTAAGTCATGACCGAGAATACGTAAGTCTGAAAGCAAGTATGGTTGAGATAATGAGCTTGTAAGCATGTAAGTCAAGTTACGAAACCACTTGTCCTAACCTCTCAGTTTGGGTCATTAATGCTTAACCCCCCAAGGAAAGACATGACTGAGATTGCGTAATCTGATACGTCTGGTTTGGTTGATGAACTTAATCTAACATGTTTGACGAATGTGAGTGAAGTTAGAACCATCGCCGAACAGACAAATTGAGTCGCCTTCTTTTGCACTCTCTCTCTCC